TGCGCATATTTGAAAGTTTACTTGAGTGTGCCCCACAACCCCAGCTTCTAAACACAGAACCTGATGTCCCAAAAAGGATTGGAGGAGGAGTGCTGAGTGGGAGTTGGGGGTTCATCTGACTTGTGTGTAGTTTTTTTTAAAAATGGGCGGGCACTGACTTGCATATTTGAAAGTTTACTTGAGTGTGCCCCACAACCCCAGCTTCTAAACACAGAACCTGATGTCCCAAAAAGGATTGGAGGAGGAGTGCTGAGTGGGAGTTGGGGGTTCATCTGACTTGTGTGTAGTTTTCTTTTTAAAAATATTTTTATTGACATTTAGAGAGAGAAGAAGGGAGAGGGAGAGAGAAACATTGATCAGCTGCCTCTTGCACACCCCCTATCCGGGATCGAGCCCACAACCCAGGCATGTGCCCTGATGGGGAATCAAACCAGCAACCTATCAGTGCCTGGATGTCACCAACCAACCAAGCCACACCTACCAGGGCACTTGTGTGTAGTTTTCCATACTTTTAGAATATGTAGTGTGTAGCTGTACTACGTTAAGAATGGGAAAGCACATCTATCCCTCACTTCATTTTAATTCCTGATAAGTGCAAAACGGCTGAATTAAAAAATATAAATTTTCATAAATTTAATTGGGTAATATATGTATTCTGTCCTAATTCAAGGTATCCACATATTTTTCACTGCAGGAAAAATAGATCAACAAACACTGACAAAATAAGCAACAATGGAAAAGAAACACTGCTTATACACATAATGTAATGTAGGGGGATGGTTTATTTATGCCCCTGAGAAGAGAAAAGGAGTGATGGTGGGGCAGGGCGGAGACAAGATCAGTAGCAGTGCTGTGCTGAGTCATACTAAAATTGGATGCAAAAAGAAAAGCCAGATCCTAACTATTTAAAATATTATTTGGTTTATCATTCTTTTGCATTAATTTTGATTTTAAAAATTACAGTATTATCTTGATTACTAAGATTATTGGTGCCCCATTACGTTTTGTGTCTAGGTGAGTGCAAAGGTGCCCATTATGGTATCTATAATAATAAAAGCATAATATGCTACTTAGACCTGACATCATTCTGGACGTCCTTCCAGACGACCTTCCGGACAAAGCCAGGGCTGCGAGGGAAGCCCGGGTCCTGGGTGCCAGAGGGAAGCCGGTGCCGGTGCCAGTAGCCTGGGGAAGGAAGGCCTACTCTTGCAGCCTCTAGTTACAAATAAACAGGAAACAAGCAAGTAGCCTCTGAGTTGTAATCACGGAAGGAAATTATGGAATAGATGTGGCTGCAAAGATGTCAGTGCAGCTTCTGTTTCCTCAAGGGGAACATGGGCTTGTTCAGTCCACCTTGGGT